TTTTTTTTTTTTTTTTTTTTGTACCAGGTATCAAACTTAGGACCTTGTGGTTGCCAGGCAGTATATATTGCCTAGCTATCTCCCTAGCCTAACTTTTGACTAGTGTGAAAAATCCTACTAGGAACGTAGGATACAATTACCTGTTTTGGTCTTTTGTTTTTTGACACAAGGTTTTGTTATAAATTCCAGGTTGACTTTGAATTCACTATGTAGCCCAGGCTGGCCTACTTGCATGATCCTCTTGCCTCAGCCTCCTGAGTGTTGGGATGGCAGGTCTGCACCACCGTACCCACCATCTATTTGAGTCTTAACTACACAGAAGCAGAATTCCTAATATGATATGGTTTTATACACTATGTAATACCTTTTGAAGAAATACCAAACTGCCACCCACCATTTCATATTCCTCTCAGCAATGCACAAAGGTTCTAATTTGTCCAATCCTGGCAAACAAAATGTCAAGTTAAATAAAACTCAAAACTATTCGTTTTGAATGATTGTTATCCTATGAATAATCCTTACCAGAGCCACTCATCACAGTGAGCATGAAATGATACCTTATTGTGGCTTTACTTACATTTCTCTAATGATTATTGATGCTGGGTATATTCTGATGGACTTACTGGTCATTAGTAGTTTCTTTTTTTTTTTTTTGTATAATGTCTATTCAAGTGCTTTGCCCATTTAAAATTCTATTGTTTGCTTTTTGTTTAGTTGGAGTTCTTCATATATAATTGTGCAACTGTTAACGTTGGCACTTTGTAATAAATAAGGGGGTTTGGAGTTGCAGTTTGGGTACGTGGTCTCTAAGAGGTTCATCATCACTGGTATAGGCCAAACACTTGATAAGGCCTTTTGATACAATCACAGAATAAGGGAAGGCTATCAGCATAACAGCAGTTTATAGTGAACTTTTTCAAATAAGTAACACACTTTACAATAATGATACTGGCTGGGCATGGTGGTGCACACCTATAACCCCAGTGCTCAGGAAGCTGAGGCAGAAGCAACACCATGAGTTTGAGGCCAATGTGGGCTGCACAGTGAGTTCAAGACCACACTGAACTACAGTGAAACCCTGTCTCAAAAACAAACAAAAAAATGATAAAAAGTATAATACATAATCTAGCAGCACAGTCATTTATTCTCACTAGCAAGTATAACTATATGTACTGTATGTGTTATACTTTCCTCTAATTGGTAGCACAGGTTTTGTTTACATCAGGCTACTACAAATGTGAGTAAAGCACTGCACTATGAATTTTTAAGATGGCTACATCGTTACGCAGTAGGAATTTTTCAGCTCTATTATAATCTTATGGACCCATAAGCATACGTGCAGTCCATCATTCACTAAAATACAGCCTAAAGCACATGACTGTATTTGAACTATCAATTCCTTTCCAGACATAAAATTTACCAATTTTTTCTCCTATTCTCTGCATTGTTTTTTCACTTTTTTTTCTGGAACCGGGCATTGAACTCATGCCCTTGTGCTTGCCAGGCAAGGGCTTATTCTACTGAGCCATCTCCCCAGCCCTTTTTCACTTTTTTAACAATAAAAATTTTTAAGGTTTTTTTTCTTTTTTTGCAGAACTGAGGATTAAACTCAGGCCCTTGCTCTTGCCAGGCAAGTGCTTATCTTACTGAGCTATCTCCCTGGCCCCAAAGTTTTTAATTTTGAAGAAATCCAATTCTTTTTTTTTTTCTGTTTTGTTACTTAGGCTTTGGGTATTATAGTCAAGAAATCATTTTCATTAAAATTATCTAGAAGATTATTTTATGTTTTCTTTCAGAAGTTTATATATTAGCCTTAAGTCTGATTCTCTGACCCATTATGAGTTTGTTTGTTTCTTTATTTTTATGGTACTGTGGATCAAATTCAGGTCCTTGTGCTTGCCAGGAAAGCGCTTATTCTAATGAGCCATCTCCTCAGCCCACCATGCCCATTCTCAATCACCATCTCAGTGCGGCCCAGGGGGTAGGGCCAGTATGGCACAGTGGGAATTGAACCCAGGCTGCTGTGCTCTGCCTAAGCAGGTGGTTTAGTCCACTGAGCTATCAGGCTGGCCCTTTGAGCTCTTTTTTTTTTTTTTTTTTTTTTTTTGTATTTAGTATAGGGTCTACAGAGTCTCACTATATAGATTGGACTTGTAGTGATCCTCCTGTTTTCAGCCTTCCAAGAGCTGGGACTACAGGTGCAGGTCACCACACCCAGTCTCAATCCCAGTCACAGCTCGCCCCAGGGGCAGGGTGGCACAGTGCACACTGTGTACCAAATCGAATATATGATTAATTCTTGATCCAATGCAGAGATTATGGGTGTGAATGCTACACCCTCCCTGGGGCAGATAATCAGCATACAAAATGCTGGTCCTCGCCTTGGTTTTTTGCTGTTTTCCATCACCATGAGTGGCTGCCCTCTGCCCTGTGCCACTCTGCCTTGGAGCCAGCCAAATATGGACTGAAACCTCCACTAACTGTGAGCTAAATAAACCTTTCCTTCCTTGATTTGGACATTGGGTATTTTGTCCCAGCAATGAGAGAGGAAAGTAACTAAGACACACATATAATAGAATTAATCACCTCTCAGATGCTCATAGTAATTTAAACCTTACATATACTTACGAAATTTGGAGACAAATTATGCTTATAAAGCTGAAGAGTGGAATGAAGCAGGTTTGAAACAAGACTGGACACCAACACTTCCTTTCCCAATTTATTATCTGTAACACGTCTCTGGCTGCTGGCTACTTGGACAGTCCATTTATCCATGTCAGCTATAATACAGACAGCTTCTGCTATTGGTTCATCTAAAACTGGATGCTAAAACAGAAATAATTTAACTTGTAAGAAAGTTTTTAAAGATAATACACAGGGAATGAGGCAACAAAGGGATAGTAAATGAAACCAGAGAAAAGATTAAATTGTAAGGGATAGTGATGTTACTCAGTGGTAGAATATTTGCCTAGGTTTGATCTCAGCACCACTAGATTCCTTCCCAATCCCTTGCACACTTCAAAAACCCCAACATATTAAATTATTACAGCAACTGCCAGAGACTCCTTGGAAGAGGAGAATGAAAACTCTGTAACAATCTGAGACAGCATACAGAAATCAACATAGATACCTTTTAAAAATTAATTAATTAATTAATTAATTAGGTGCAGAGGGGTCTTGCTATGCAGTTCAGACGCATAGGATCTTCCTGTCTCAGCCTCCTCAGTCCTGGAATTACAGGCATGTGCTACCACACCCAGTTTCAGTGGCTGGCACAGCACAATCAGGGTTGGCACAGCATGTTGAGGGTTTCAGGACTAGCACAGCATATGGTACAGGGGATGGAACCTGGGTCCTCGCGCTTGCCAGGCAGGTCCTTAAAGGGCTGAGCTATCTCCACAGCCTAACACTTTATATTTAATACTAAAACTCTGGTCTTCAATATAGACCATTCTTCCACAAGCTTGTGGATTATTCATTCATTTTACAAATAGTACTTAGTGCAACTATGTGTCAAGCAACTGGAAGAAAATGTTTACTTGGCCTTTTAGAGTTAACTTAAATAACACCAAGCGTATTTGTACAAATAAGTCAAGGGTAAGAGTCTGTGCTATTGGGCATTTATATGCCTCAGCATCACTAAGGCTATCTCCCTTAATGACTTAAGTACCTTAAACATGCCCTAGATTTTTCTATTTTGCCAACAAATATATTCAGAATTTTGTATGCACATTTAAAAAAGAGAAAATCAACACGTACTAACATGCCTCTCTGATGTATACTATTAAATAAAAAAACAAGTCACTATTCATACAAACCCAACTATATCCCAGTTGTGTTTTTAAAAATTTAGATTGGATGGACTTAGAGGCATACAACCATAGTCCTAGCACGTAAAGAGGCTGAGGCAAGAGGATCCCTGTAAGTTCAAAGCTAATGTGGACAACATAGTGAGTTCAGGCCAGTCTGGACTACATAGTGAGACCCTGACTCAAAAAACAAAACGAAACAAAAACAAAAACCACCACAGACTGACAAATAAAATTATACAGAAAAAGGAATGCAGGTACATATGGTAACGCAGGACTATAATCTCAGTACTCTAAGAAGCTGAAGAAAAAGGATTTTAAATTTGAGCTCAGCCTGGGAACTTAGGCAAGACCCTGTCTCAAAATTTAAAACATTACAACAGACTGGGAATGGGATGTGATGGTGCACATTTATAATCCCAGCACTCAAGAGGCTGAGGCAGGGAGATCACTATGAGCCAGCCTGGGCTACAAAGTGAGTTCAAGGCTAGCCTGAATTACACAGCTACACTCTGTGTCAAAAAGACAAAAAAATTAAAAATATAAGTAAACATTTAAAAAAAACTTTAAAAGACTGGGCATACGGCTCAATGTGAAGATCCTCAGTTTATTTTATGAGAGAGAGAGAGAGAATGACAATGACCCTACAGTGCTCAGCACTTCCTATGTTTCTGTGTTGGTAAAGGTAAGGCTTTCTTATCAAATGGAACAGTACCAAAAATAAAGAGTAAAACTACATTTTTGAAAGCTTAAGACTCCATGGCCTTTTCTCTCTCCATTTTACTGTTACTGCAGTTAGACAGCTGTGGATATCATTTTGCTCCTTGATCTACCTAGTTTTGAATCCTGAAAGGATATCTTTCTGTCAGTTAATAACAATAACTGAGAATAAAGCCCTTTCCTAGACA